AGACAGACAGACAGACAGACAGACAGACAGACAGACAGACAGACAGATCATTTAACTAAAAACAGGAACATGTCTGTTGGTTTATGCCAGGAACTTAGCAGATGTTTAAAACCATTTAACATTTTATTTAAATTAATTTACTCATTAATTTAATAGAAACAAAGCAAATTCCTCAAAAGAAAACATGGAATGAAAAGAGTGCAGAAAGAAGAAAAATCTTGTACCTGCCCCTTATTTAAAAAAAAATATAAACTAACTTTAAACAATCACTTAAATTAATCACTGGTGGCGTAGAGGTTAGAGAAGGTTGGCCTGTGATCGAAAGATCGTCGATTCAAGCCCCGGTACGGACAACATCAAAAATGTGGGTGGGGTAGGTGAAGCACCCACACCTGCCCCCACCCTCATTCATCCCACTCTGAGCCCTTGAGCAAGGCCCTTAACCCCCACCATCTGCTCTTCCAGGTGTCCTAGATAACAGCTCTCTGCTCCACACAGAAGGCTGTGGTAGCTCAGTGGTCTGTGGTTGCGTCAGGAAGGGCATCCGGCGTAAAAATATCTGCCAAGTCTTCGTGCGACTTAGTTCGCTGTGGCGACCCCTAACGCAGGGAGCAGCCAACAGAAGAAAAAAAAAATCCACTTTAAAGCCAGGAATTAAAATAAACAATTTTTGTGTTAGCAGAATTTAATTCTAACTATAAAACACATCCACCATTAACAAAACTTACCTCAAGTTGCCTTTTTGGACATGCATGCATGTATTTGTACAAATTGTACTTGAGAGGAGATTATTACAGCCTCATATAATGATGATGATAAAATAATGTGAAATTTCATGCCACATCTTGCGTGATTTCACGTGGTTGATTTGGGCAGCACGGTGGATTAGTGGTTATCATTACTGCCTCACAGCAAGAAGTTCCTGCCCTGGTTTAGACATGGATTTTTTATTTTTATTTTTTTTTGCATATGGAGTTTGCATATGTGTTCCTGGGTAGCAGATGCTAGAGGGTCTATGCACGAGTCTGACCTTTACTGACGGAAACAGATAAATGTCACATTAGAGCCCAGGTGAAGGAGCTAATAACAGCATCGCTCCTCAGCCTGTTTCTTTCTCTAAATGTTTGTGGTTTTAGGAGAGGACATTAAAAGCAAAGCAACAGAGAAATCATTGTTTTATTATTCAGCTGCATATTCCTGATGAGCACGCTAAAGTCAAGATCATGCAGGAGGGTTCAATGGCACTTTAAAAAATTAGGATCAACAGCTTCCGTGACTCACATTTTAAACTTGTCGTCCTATAAAAGCTGCACTCATAGAGTTAGAAGCAATATTTAATAAAACTCCTCAACAATTTTAATTTGTGGTGACCAAAGTTTGAAAATATGAATAAAAAAAAGCGGAAAATTTTCCAAAACTGGATAGTTTCTATAAACTTTATGTACTGTTGTTTCGACTGTGTTGAATTTGATCACTGAGAAGAGTTTGGGAAAAGCAGGACAATTTTTATTTTAAAAAATGTTTAGAAATAATATTTAGTGTGTTATACCAACAGTTCATGCTCAATAATCCAGGTACAAATCTAACTTTCAGTTAGGTCATCTGGATGGTTTCTTCTTTTTGCTGAGACGTTTTGTCCTTCATCCGAAAGGACTTCTTCAGACCGCGAAGCCACAAACAAACTGGAGTCCTACAAATACCACATTCCCATAATGGGAACAAAAAAGAGTTTGCTGGTGATAAAATTATTTCTGAGGCCCGCCTCTCCCCCATCAACTTCTCTGACGAAGTCATGTCAGTGTGTTATCTTTGTCTAACTTGTGCCTATTTCAGGCAGAAGACAGTAAAACACCTATAAAATATAAAATTGACTCAAAGATGAATCGTTTTTAAATGTTAAAAAAAAAATTACCACCAGTTGAGATGATATCTCTCCAGTTTATGTATGAATAACAGTTATTGCAGCAAACTCCTACGAGAGAGTTAATTCAATTTAATTCAATTCAGTTTATTTATGTGGCGCCAAGTCACAACAGAAGTCATCTCAAGGCACTGTACAGAATCATAAAAAGTAAATTATTTATGTGAGGAATAATAGAAGGGATCGTGGAGCAAAAACTGTTCTGTTTTTTGAAAACCACTTGCAGATGGTGAGTAATATTTTGTGGGTGGCTGTGCATCCTCCAAACCCTCGTCATTATTCATCCTAATGTGAATTAAATGAAGTTCAAACAAATGAATGCAGTCGATTAATCAAAGAAATCATTCGATTTTTGTCACCACCAATTAAAAAAAATACACTTAAAAGTAAAAAACATGCACAATCCAGGCATCATAAAACCAACTTTTTAATACTAATGAATATCGCATGAAATATTTTCCATTTGCAGTTAAAATAACATATCAAGACACACATCATTTTTATGTTTCAAATACTAATTAAACAAGAAGAAAAAAACTTATCCTGAACCAAATCAGATGTTTCAGTTTGAAAGAGTTTACGCCGGTAAAATTCTAAATATACTGAAATCTCCATCTTCTAATTGTAGTCCGGTCTCAGAGGCATCAGGTCAAGGTCTGGACCCAGACCTCCCACTCCACAGTGACACGCTCCAGCTCCTCCTGGGGGACTCCAAGGCATTCACGAGCCAGAGAAGATACACAACCCCTCCAGCGAGTTCTGGATCTGCCAAGTGGCACGTGCCCAGAAAACTTCACTTCCCCTCAACATAATTTCTACCTTAACAAGATGGAGGGGTCAGAGTACCCCATGATCCTGGAGGCTATGGTGTCTGAGGGATCAGCCACTGGATGGGTCTCCCATGGCAAACAGGCCTCAGGAGAGGGGTCAGACCAACAGGAGGGGTCTGACCAAGAGTTTTATAAAGCTTGATGGATAAACACATGCCTGAAAAGAGAAATGGTAGTGGTGGGCGGATCAATCCAAATATTGGTAATATTGATACCAACGCTAATATTGATATTGATCAATACCAGTGTAATAATATCGATACTTTAGCTTCAGTTTCTCTCCTGTATGCACTGATGCGGTTTCATCAAAGATGCGAGCCGACTGTCTAAGCGTCGCTCCTGTCACAGCACAGAGCAACTCTGCAAAGGCAGGCACGGCCCACAGAGAGGCTTCTGGGAATATTTCTTTGAACTCAAGGCTTTGGAGGTTGTTTTGTTTTTACACTTTATTTATTGTATTTTTACTAATTATTTTTAATTTGTAGTTATTTTTTCAAACCCAGAAAGGAAATTCACTTAAGAGGAGAAATTTAGTTTTATTCATTTATGTCCTAAATATATTTTATTATTTTATAACATTTGTTGCGGTGTGATAATTTGGTACAGTTTCTTTGTATATTTAAGAAAAAAATCCAGAAAAGGAGTGCAATGAAGGGATCATTTTTATTTAATTATCATAGTTTCCGAACACAATGGTTTAATTTATTCTTGAGTGATCATTTTGTGCATTTTGTTTAAGAAAAAAAATCCAGCCATCACAAGGTATGGGGAAAATGGTTTTGTTACCGTTTTGTTTTTTCAGAATTTTTTTTATTATAATAAAGTATTTTTATTTACTTATAAAGTTTGTTTAATTCTATCCTGGGTTTTAACTAAAAAATGATCAGAAGGAAAAATCACAAAACATTTAAACGTCATCAAAATTCACCGCAATTATTTTAATGTATTGTATTGGTATCAGCGATAATGGACCTGTATTTATTAGGTATCGGATCAATA